CAGCGTGTGTGTACGTCACTACGTGTACGTGTGAGCCGCGATAGCTAGCCTAGAACAATACGCAAACAATAGTTACAATACAATGCGCAGGATCGCTGCAATATGGTGTGATGCGATGTATGCGTACACGTAATCAGGGGTCGAAATGGACACGCGGAATTCGGAAACGCGGAATGGAAGCGGTTTCGTTCGTGGAACGGTTAGCATTCGTCATTGGTCCAGTGCATTGTAGCGCGCAGTGGAATAAATCGATATCATAACACACGCAGCTCTGCGTGCGTACGTACGTATCAGTGTTCGAAATATAGTTAATGACCCTGTGACCTTGACCTTGGGTGGAAGTGGCTCAGAATCAATAGGGTTCTCTCGCCCCATAAGATGCAACTGTGGACCAAGTTTGAAGTTTCTACCTCTTACGGTTGGAAAGATATCGAGCGGACAGACACACAGACATACACAGTACACACCGCCACATACACGAAACCGAAACTGCCACGAAAACAATATCCTCTGCGGCACTACGTGCGGACTGCGGAGGATAACTACTCGTACTTCGTCGAGTAGACGTGTTTGTATGGTTAGCCTGTGTTATGACTAGCGTGTGTTGTGTGTGCGTGTTGACAGTATTGTGAGTAGCGGCGTTGTGTTTTACGTTTGGAGCTTTATTTCAATATTAGTTCAATAAAGTGTAGTTTATTGATGGAAGAACAGTGATTTTCGTCAGCGAGACGGTGGTTTGGATAAATTTCTGCGTGGCGGCTGAGAATTTGAGCGAGATGGGGGCGCGATCCGCGCTGAGGCTTTCGCGTCAATCAATTGAAACACCTGCTGTGAATCATAATGCGAAGCGATTGCCGATGGGACAAGTTGACTAGGCAGACCAAATAATGGGCAACGGCATAAGCCAAGACAGGCATTGAAAGATTTTGTGCATGAGTTTTTTGGTCAGCTCTTGCATGCTGGTGTAACCATATGATAATGGCCTGACTTCTGAGTGATCAATATTCAGGGGACGATTTTCGAAGCAGTTTTTCTTTTTATAACTGTCGCCTCCGTAATTAACATTTCGGAGCTCTTTTGTGAACTTCGCGGGGCTGCATTTCGCAGCTGTCCCGCTGGGAAGTAGACCCCTACAATTATTTTTTTCACTGATTTAAGAGTAACTCGTCAAAAAAGAAGATATACAACTTATAGTAACGAATACTACTCGATGAGAGCATACTGCGCAATGTCACAAATCACATTAATTTATTAATCATGTTGCGTCGCGAGTTAGCCAATTAAAATTTAGTCTATGAGCGCACTGGATGCATTAGCAGATCACATCAATGACTGTCAGTCAGAGTCAATGAATTTAATTATGTAAATTTCCAAATATTTTATTATAATATTATAATAATAATAATTAGAATATCAGTGAACAGCTGATCATAATAATCGATGCTGAAGTACAGCGAACCTTCCCATTATCGTAAGTCCCATTTTCTGACGTTGTTTGGGGCATGAGATCGCAACTTTAACTTTGCGATCCTTTGCGCACAGTGAGGTTAAAAGTACAATAAATTACACATTTTCAATACCTTTAATCCGAGTGTTTCTTCCTCAGTTTCAAAACTCTCAAAATCGTGTATTACTTTCCCAATGGCGTTAATTAATCGATAAACGCCGCAACATAGGCCCGAACATCTTTGTCTGCGTTAATATTAACCGAAATGGGAACTGCCATATCTCAGCCCAGCCTACAAATTACCTTTTTTTACTGAGAAGCCTCTTTTTGATTTTGTATAAAAATAAGAGCTCTCGTAATTTTTTAGCGGGAGCTATTTTAGCTTGGACCTGAGCTATCTTTCCATAGCATAAGATATTTGCTCACGAGTCGCTTTCAGCAAAATTTCATAATTTTGAAAGCACTGAATTTATATAATGTCTGCCAGAAGTCGCAAAATTTTGTCCTAACTTGATTGCGTAAAATTAGTGTTCCCAAGTACGAAAGTTCAAAGATCATCTTGCAGAAATTGACGAGTTCAACAATCATGATTCATTAAATGGTGACCAGAAAATCACGGAGGCCGTGTTACTATGTTGCTTAATATTCAGTGTTTTGTTATCAAAGTATCGACTGGCACTTTCACGATGTCTCATTTCGCATTATTTTTTCCATTCAAATCTTCGTCGGGCATCAAGGCAGCTATGTCTGTGCAAAACCATATGCAAAGGGATGGGAGATAACAGAAAAATTTTCATTATCTCTATGTCCATTTTCAATTAAAAAAAAACGTTGCTGCTCGAGGCACGAAGGCAAGAGCAAAATTTTCAAGAAGACACCTTACAACCTGAGCCGGCGAATTTTCTCCCACCCTGCCCATTTCGCACCAGCGGCAGTTTTGCCTGGAGACCCGGAACACCACGGGGTCTACCTTTCAGCTTGAAAATCATAGTGGACAGCAGACTGCACAAAAATTAATTGGTCCCTTATTTAAACTAGTCAGCTAGTGATTTTAAAATAGTATAATAAAGAAAACCCATTGTCATTTTAAAACAGCACATACATGTACTTCCGCTAATTTAGATTTTGTCACATAAGTTTCAATCTCTTAAGAATTTCTGAGGAGCTTCTGGGTTAAAGGTTTTACTTCTGTTTTTTCTCCTCCCCAGTCACGGTATCGCACCCATTGCCATAGATCACATTTGCTGCCGCACATTTCCGCAAATATAACAATGCCTAGATACATTTAATTAATATCATTGCATGTTCATCATTAGTCTTCTTAGATATCTAACGATGAATAAAAACAGTCACCACTTCTACGTTAAGAAAAGTGAGTAAACGAATTCATTAACACATTTGATACGTGGTGTCAGGTGTCATCTTGTTTCGTGCCCTTCACTTTCAAGATACTTTTAGCCTCGTTCACCCACGATAACCAATTGCGATTATATTAATTGTATGCCCATAAAAAACACTGTCAGAATGACCTGCTCAGTTCATAGAGATGGTGCCCGAGCAAAAACTGTGGGCTCGGGTCCTCTTCTTTTTGCCCAGGTCGAACTAATTTCTAACCTGGCCGGCGCACGGTAGCGATTTGTTTCTCTTATGTTACTCCAAATTTTTCGCTCATCCCGAATTTTGTTAAACTCGTAGAGTGTGCAGCTTTGAAAAGCTACGGGAAGCGAAAATCCGCTCGCGAACTGCTTGTTACGCCTGGTGATATTTTTCGCTGCTACCAGACACTCGTAAGTAGAGATATCAGCTTCCTGTACTCTCCAGCCATCACTGCTAATAAACATGTCCTCTAAAACAGAGGAATGTGCTTCCACGCTGTGATTGATAGATATAAATAGACAAACCCCGCCTCACTTCCCTGTGAGGCCGCGAGAGATTATCGCATTAAATATATGCTAATTACCGTAGGCAACGTGTAGCTAATTAATTAATATGGAGTGAACTAATTGATGCTTTGTACATTTCTAAAATAGTGTAGGTATTATCTAGCTATAATTAATGGGACACAGTATCTAGCCTTATCTTTCTATTGTTAAATCGAGTCTATTGGCAAGCCGTATAAAGTCTAATAAATTAGCAATGGGTATTGCCATCCCGGATGCGTATAGATCTATATCACTGACCCAGTTATAATACCTCAGTCACTCATAGCATACGCATTAATGTTAATACCTGAGTATATTTACCTGATTGAATAACTGGAGTAATACTGCGATTTAAATACTGTGATAAGTAACTTGACTATTATACCTGAAGTATTATCACTGTAGTAATGAGCTACTTCCAGATTCCATACATTTAATTTGTTAGCGCTGTTGCTTCCTGGCGCGACGGAGCCTCTGTAGAGGGTGGTGTTGTCTCGGACTCGCGGGCTCTGTCCGCCGAATTTTTTTCTTCTTCAACCCAATCTGGTACGTGATTGCCAAGCGCACATCCTCATCGGGTCGCGAATAATAACTCACCGCGTTGCTTCTTGCGTACTGATATCCCATATTATATATCGATTTTACTTACATATAATACGCATAACGCCCTAACGCCTCAACTATGAACCCTAACTCCAAACCCTAACCCCTAAACCTGCTAACCCTTTAAACCCTAACATAACTCGGGCCCTAACTGCTAAACTGCTATAAATTAATAAAATTTAATTTTAATTGTTGTATAAAATAATTTTGTTATTAAAGATGTTTTGTACAAATAAATAATTTTAATATATGCGCGTTAATTGAGAAAAAAAAAATTTTAAAAGCAGAATAAAGAAATAGAAAAATACATCGAAAACATTGCGAAAAAAAAGTAATAGAAAACCGTGTATGGGATGCGATCTTCCCTGCGACCGATGTTCATTACTGTGGGGCAAGCGCTTTACCGGCTTGCGGCCTCTGCCACAGTATTTGAAATTTACAAATTGTGGATGTGCTATGTATATTGCGCTAAGCAAACCAACTCAACCAAATCATTGCGTCATACTCCTGTCACTATCCAGGGACTTTAAGAAGAAAAATAAACGTCGAACGGTACCTGTCGCAGGAGCTCTAACAGCCTAATTGTTATACCGCTCAGTCAACTCATAGCTAATATCACGCGCGGCTATTGATCGCGGTGAAGACAAAACGTCCCACGAATTCTATTTTTATCCTCCAATCACAGACCGGAGCAATTCCTCTGTTTAGACGCATGTTTTAATCATATTAATAATAATAATACCACACAGACGGAGCATGTAATTTGTAATTTGTAGACATGTTCTGCGTGCACCTACTGACCTAGGCTATATCCTCGTAGCCTCATCATAATTGGTGTTCAAATACCAAGGGACTATACCGAAGTAGTACAAGTGATAGAGAATACAATATTAATTAATGATAAATAATAGGCCTATGATGTCATGAGATGATGAGTCACAGTCAGAGACATGCAGTTACAAAAAGTCAAAAGTTCAAAACTGCCACTAAGAGTAAGTGACTAACTACTACAGCACTAGTACTATTACTTGAAGATGACGACGCTAAGCTTGGCCTGACTACACGTAGCCTGGATTTTTTTAACAAAGCTGCCGATAGATACAGATTTCTACTCCTTCTACACGATAAACAGAAGTTGAAACCTAGCAGATTTCTAAGTTTAACCGAATTAGTTCCCCTGCCCATGCACTTCACAATGGAGGCTGCCATCTTTTCTTTCGCCATCTAGCGGTATCATGCGAAAGTGTCGCCAGTGCATGATTCATAAGTGTGCTCGTATCGAGTTTTGTTGTTTCATGGTTGCCAGTTTCATCTTATCCAATCTTAGTTTACGAATTAAAAGCTAACATGGATGGATCTTCAAAAGGCTCACTAGCCTTTGATGAGTTCGGGAGACCATTTATTATTATCAAAGATGAAGCATCCAAAAAGAGATTGACCGGTATCCATGCTCATAAGGTAGGCCTAATGTTTTCCCGAAAACGCTCGAACATTCGAGGTGCAAAATGAAACGCGAACTTTGAGGTCCACGTGTGGTTAAAAGCGTAATTATGCCGCGTAAAGGAACTGTCATAATGTATCGGTAGATGTAATTTTTGTTTGATTTCAACTTTAAAAGTAATTCTTGAATTGAATTAATTTGTTCATCTTTACAGACTACAGTCTACAATACAGAATACTGAATACAATTTGATCCAATGCAATGCCAATGGCAATGGGGTTATCAACAATGAATTGGTTCAATTCAGGTCGGGCGGGGTTTTCGCGTAATATCGACTGTCGTCGATCAGTAAACTTGCTGCTAAATTTCTACAGTCTACTCTGTTTTGTGGTTTCTTGCTGACATGACAATATCAGAGACAATTAAGTGTTTATAAATTATATACTATAAGTATAACTTATAACAGATTCCGATGTCTATGAGAATCAACAATACAATTACACAGCCGATAGTATTCCAGAAACCCGTCGTTGCTCTAATTTACTAGTAAAACTGTCTGTGAATATGTGAATATACAATTATACTATGAAAGCTAAGAAGTGGCGTATCCAGCATAGGGCGGAGCTGGCGTACGCCCCCCCCCCCCCGTTTGCAGACCCGGGAAAAAATCTATAAAACTAAAAAAAAAAACTAGTAGCAGTGGGTGTTCAGGGGTAACGTCAGACTGAACGCGCTCCTAATTCTGTTCCACCACAAGGACCTCGCTTTGCAAATGGATAAGGTGGTCAACATCTTCATCAGAAGGAAGCCTCGAAGGTTGCTATTGGCAAACCCCATGGGGGACGCTTAAATTGTCTCATATCAATATCAGCGTTGGTAACCTGCGAGTTGCGAGTTGGGTACTGGGATAGTAAGCATTCCCAGATATTTATCATTCGCAACTCGCGTTAGTAAGTCAACGCTTAACTATTGACAACCTCAATGCTTAACTATCTTTCCCGTGAATTACCTGTCGTAAAAAAGGTTAAAATACTAGGTTGGCTGTTTGGGCCAGCTGACCGTACCTCTCACAAAGCCCTAGAGTCGACTGCTTGATCAGCAAGAAATCTCACCTATGTTTAACTGGTAACATCCCAGTTGGCCTACTCCCATTTTGCCCACACCCATTTCGCCTACTCCCATTTCATCTACTCTCAGAATCTGCAATATTCCCATTTCCCCCTACTCCCATTATGCAGTGGCGGACCCAGAAGTGAATTGTAGGGGGGAATCATGCGAGCTCAAGGTCCCCCTGGCTACGCGCGTGGTCGATACAGCCTGGCCGTGGATGCTCAAAAGTGGATAGCGCCAGGGATATAGCCAGGAAATTATTTCAGCCCTAAATGAGAACATAATATATTGACTTCTATGGGCGTTGTAGGCGTCCGGCGAGCGCCGGAGGCGCGAGACGCGATGTGCTAGGGGGGTCTGGGGGCATGCCCCCCCTGGGAAATTTTGATTTTTAGGTGCTCTGTGCTGCATTCTGAGGGGTTTAAATCACAAATTGGGAGGTTTTTATTGACAAAAAAATAGTGCATATTTACAACAAAAAGCAGTAGTTAAAAATATCAGGTAGCACAAGTTCCATCTGATGCCTGCTTTATTGAGAAATGTGCTGCTCATGATCCATGAAATGACATAAAATAGTAACAATATAATTGCATAATGCCATAATGATAATATAAATATAAACATAACAATTAAATTAGTATTGTAAATCAAAATATTGAATAATTGTTCACCACCACAATAAATAATATTCAAAAGTGACAACAAAAATACATATTTTAAAAAGAGATTTTCTCTGGTAGCACTGCCACTGCAAACAGCGTCGTACTACGAGGTCATCGAGTTCATTATAGTAGATTATAGTAAATTTGTAGCC